GAGTGAAGGCTCAACAGAGTGAATGCGTGTCGTTTGGTGTCCTCAGCTCATCTGTCTCAAACACAGAGGTGTCAGGTGCCAAATCAACTACCTCTGACACCTCTCTCTTTCTCCCTCTTCCTCCTCCCTCCACGTGGTTGTACAAATGAAGCGTTGCAAGGCGATGGTGCTCACTTAAGTCAAATGTGATGCACAAATGAGTCGCTTCAATGGTGCGACCTGACCCAAAACAAATCGTTGCACTGTCTACTGACGTGTGCACAGGTTGTTTCGCCCTCATCATTTACACATGCACACACGCACACGGGGGGTTGTGCGTGTACACAAGCACGAGCACAGAGGTCACGCAGCCATCTACTGTCCAAGCACACATGCGTCTTCCATTCCATAGGCGGTCCCTTCACCTCGTGTCGGAGCCGATTTGAGTAAACAACGGTGTGTATCGCCTCCCACAACGAGGTGTTGAAGTCGTTAGTGGGTGTTCATTTCATTGCATCCCAGTGCTCTACCAAAGGTGGCATTGGGAGCCATTGAGGTAGGCGATGAATGCATCAGGAGAGATTCGGCGAGGAGTGAGGTGGAGAAAGGAAGGTGGTGTGACAAAGAGGTCGGACCAACTTAGTTCCCTATCGCTGTGGTCCGGTGATTGGGTTCACTGTCGAGCACGCAGTCGTTAGAAGTGTGATGTAAGGCATTGTGACTAAGTCGGTTGCTTGCCCACCGCGAAAGTGGCTTGTTACCCTCTAAGGACGTGGAGAGGTGTGTGGAAGTTGGAGTTGCAGGGTTCTGTTGTGTGGCTATTGCACTAGCGTTGAGGCGTGCCTCCACTTTGTGACCTGACAGGTCGAAACCATCTGTATTGTTTGGGATCTACATTTCACCTCACTTTCTTTTCTAATGTCTACTTGAATATCTGTTTTGTGTTGTACAGAATTTATTGTCTATTTGCTGCTATTTTTCCCCATGATTTATCATTGGCATTACCAACGTCATCATGTACGTTCATGCCATCCCATTCTAAAATCATGCCTTAACTGAACACACATCATCTTCGCATTCGTTTTGGTAATTGAGTCGTTGCACTCCTTAAAAGCATCATTATTTGTAATTTTAACCTCCTTCCTCCTGCACACATCTAAATCTCCTTTATTTTCTGTCTGGCAATTTGTTCAAGGAGGCTATGCAACTTCTACGAATCTCACGCTTTTTGATTGAGGCTCTGGGCTTAGCCACTGTGTGATACTTTTACTTAGCATCTTAGTTACTTCAGGGCAATTTCTTGACTCCCTTCTCATGACTTGGAAACCTGAAAGCTTGCCCTCTTTACACCTACTCATGTGTACATGATTTTGTGCCTTCTAGTCGCACCTTTTCACTTTTTGGGACCTCATTCTTACCTACTTGTACTGCTGTGAAGGAACAGTACCAATACCAGTCTTGATTGCTGTCTTAGTGACCCTCAATTGTCCTTGCCATAAATGGCTTCTTTTCCCTCCGTAGCAAACACGTCTTAGTGATTAAATTTAAATCAAATTTCGGTTACTGCTGGTAGGTCCTGGTCTCCCGCTGTCTGTTTACATGAACGCTTTCCTTCCTCACCCATCAAATATCGCTGAAACGTGTCATGTGATTTGCTACTTTTATTTTCTTACACCCTCAGTGCTGTTGCGTTTTTAAACTTGGAGACAATTTTGGTTTTTCGTTGTTTTGTGACAAAAGTTAATTATTTGCTATTTCCCCGTTATTGGGGGTTGGATGTTGATAGAAACGCACTTTTTCACCGCCTCCCATTACAGTTTCCTCATGACTAATTTTGCCATCAATTTTGAAAGCCTGTTAAATTGATGAGGTGTGTGGCACTTCTTCAATTAAATCATTCGGTCTGAAGTGTGTTAGTTTGCCAAGCTTTATATTTACTTTACCTTAAATTCACCATTTTTACCGACTTCCTTGTCGGTGATGATAGCGGCACTGCTTTAGCATTTGCATTCTACGTTCCTTTCTTGTTCATCAATTGCTCATTTTCAAATCGACCACAAACTATCGTCCTCTCGGATCGTGTTCTGGCTCGCGTTTATGTGCACGAACCTCAATCTATACTTATTTTGCCAAATTTGATAGGATCTGATGGCTAACCTACATTGAGTTCTAAAATGCACGGCCCACAGCTCTATTTCTTGAGTTCTTTCATTTCCTCAGTGCGCAACACGTTTGTTGTGGTTTAGTCATTTAGCTTCAATTCACTAATTATTCCTATAGAACTGTCTGTCATCAGGGCGAACATTTTTACCGACATCCTAATCCCAACTCACCCTTTTTTCTTCAGTAAGATGAGTCAGATTATCGGTTATAAAGGAATTTTTGGACTTTAAGGAAAGTAGTAAGACCGTCTAGCAAAAAAAAACTGACCTTTCTTCTTGACACAACGTCTAGAATGGCCATTCACACCCGTCGGGATAGTCGCTATTCTCCTCATCCGGTATTTTTAATGAGGCTGCTGCATTTTTTTCCCATCAATGACCTGAATGTGGGTTCACATGGGGAATGGTGTAATGAAGTTGTGAAGTTTGTGCAGAGTGAGCAAACAATTTCATTGGAACGTATGAAATCTCGCCTCACTATTTTTTTCTTAATTCCTTAATGATGAAGCCGAAGGAAGGAGGGAAGGTGTGGTTCTTTTGAGTATTTGGCGAAGCTCGACAACATAGCCACAGTCTAACCCTAAGGAAGTTTACTGAGGGTACATGAAGAAAACTTATAGCGAAAGTGACAGTTTTGTGCCTTATTCTTTGCGATTTCTTGACCCTCTGCGTATGTCTATTCAGTTTAAAAGATGTGTACACATGTCTAATTAGCTTGCTGTAGTTATTACGGACCAAAAACATAGTCCTGACCGTGAGATTGATTTGGTGGCACGATTCATGTAATGCTGGTGGTTGATGGACTGATTGCTTCTGTGTGAGCAGCTGGATGTTCTACTTAAATTAATAAATGTCACTATCTACCATCAGCTTTGATAAACCTCGGCTGTCATCTCCAAACTAACCGATGCAACTGGTGGCGAAGGGCAAAGAGCTTTATTCATTTGATTGTGCTTTAACTTTGCCCAATTTTGTCATAACTATATTATTATTATTAACAGGATGAAAGGCATCTCAAATGCCTCTGACTCCGCAGTCAAGTGGACAAACCTGGAGTATGGTTTGGAAATGCATTATTATGAGTGATCAGCCCGATGTAAAACGCACCAACACTAGCGAATGCTCTTCATTCTCATGATAGATGCGTGTGACGGGATTTGTCTCTCTGCCTTTTGATTGGCGGGTGCGTGTGTGTACATGTCGATCAAACGGAGCTCTACCCTCCTTAAGTGCCCTCGCTCAACTGAGTCAAGGCAAAACCCCCCCATCGCGTTTCCATTGGGCCAGTTCTTTGAGTTTAGTGCCGTTAATCTGTGTCAACAAAGAGAAGGTTTAACGCTTGTCATATCAGAGCTTGTCCTAATGGCCGATTAACCACTACAATCAAAGTATTCTACCACCCAAACTGGCCAAAAGCATTAATATGCTGGGATTTTTGTTGCTTCAGGAATGTTCCATGCATTAATTGTGGTGAAATCGCAGAGAAGGAGATACAGTCATCGCTTTACTACATTTTCTTATTAACTACTCACCTCTCCTCACATGATCATACGTGTTGGCCTCGATTTCTATGGCTCAAGTTACGGCGATGTTAACAAGAGTGCTCATCAAGCTTTAGCAGCGTAGTGCGGTTGAATAGGAGTGAAAGTTCAAGTGAATCTGAATGGTAACTTTTTCAAGATATTAGATGCCAATTCTGTCAATTTGACTAGCCTTGGCTGCCCACTCCCTCCTGCCTCGTGCACTTGCATTCTTTTTCATGACCTTGTTCTTATGAATATTCATGTGATTGGTTCATGTAATGCATCCATTCCATTATTATCTAAAATCTGAAAGCTGATAGTTTTGGCTTTGTTGTCACTTGATTCAGTCCTCAAGACCTTGCGAATTATCCCACTCCTTAGCAAATTTCAACCTATTTCAGTCAAGGCGCTAAGAGTCTAGGGGTATGCATGTAACTGTATCGCATAAGACGTTTCAAATGAGTTGTTGAATTGATTCTACCGTTATCTGTCACTAGGGCTCTCATCCAGGTTTTCATACTCCGACATCTTCCTCTCTTGCTCATTAGAGGTTTGAGAAAATTCTTCGATACATCTAGACGTGTTAGTAATTCTAGACTTATGTCTCAGCTCCAACAAAATCTGGCATAAGAGAACGAATTAAACGAGTAAGAGATTTTTGCTTTGCGTTGTTGGCAGTTGCCAAGATGCCACAGTTTAGCCACTTTACTTCACCAGTGCCCATAACGTTGGCTTCTGCTAAAACCTTTTGAAGAAGTGGTTGTCACTTTTTATCAAAATTGGCACATTTGCATCATCACCACGTCAATTATTGAAGTGAAGGACAAATGTATGAATGATTCATCCATAGTTTCATGGAAAAATTGCTGAGAAATTACAAAACAAAAGTGTTACTCATAATTCAATGCGTGTTTCTCCGCATTACAGCCATAAAAGGAAAAATCAGTTGATAATACCGTCATTCCACCTTATTATGTGGAGTTGAATTACGTAACGCCTGATTTATTGCTTTTTTTGCTTCCATGTTGAAGCTTAAAGTACTAGGGAATATTTGGCCTCCAATTGGGTTGTACTTGTTACTTCAGAGAGGCAGGCCAATCCTGAGATAGTCGACAAGCTGATTCCTGCCCACCTCTCAGGCCAGGTGTCTGGAACTGATGCCCCTCTGGAGGACGGCAACGGTGGCGTTGGTGGAAGCGTTGGAGGCAGAAAGAGTTCACTCTTGGAGTCTACCTTAACTGGTGCAGCAGCAACGGTTAGGGAGACAGCACCAGGAGCAACACTGCAGATCTCCGAGACGACTCTGCCCACGAACGAGGACAACGCTCCTACTCGATCTCGGCACTCCAGTGGTCGTAGATCGCCTGATACGCAGCAACAATCGTAACCGTGCTTTTACATGTAGCCTCCCGGTCTCTTTCCCTACTTACTTGCTCGTTCCACTAATGTTGTACACATATACACGGCCACAATTGCGCTCTCCTTCGACAATCCACGTCTGTCGCGCTTTTGTGGTGTACATGATACGTGGTATTGTGCTGGGTCCTCTTCTCTGCTCCTTGCACACATATGCATGCACGCAGGTCATCCCGTCTGTATTTGCTTCTGTCCCTTCTTCCCTCTCTTCTCTTGATTTTGTGTGTGCGCACGTGCGCGCGTACGGCAGAGATTTGGCTGATTGTGTAAAATTGTTTTTTTTGGCGCCTTGAAGAAAACCTGTCGTCTCTTCGCACGCATATGCTCAGTTGCTACAGCTGCACCTGTGTGCTTGTTAGTTCGTTTTGTTGTCTTCATGCGCTACTTCTATTCCCGTTGTAGCTGCTTTGCGTAGATGGAGAGGAAGGAAGAATATGGAAAGTTTGATGCTTTTTGGTTGGAAGACTACTTACCTCTGCGATTTCCAACTATTAATAAGTGCAGACTCGAGTCTTAAAATTGGGGCCAATGAAGGTATTTGAGACTCCCGATGTGATGTAGCACGGAATTAGTCATTAAGCCTGTAGGAATCCGGTAATTTGGTGTTAGCTATTGGGACTGTACACAATCTTTGATTTGTCGCAGTCTGGCGTGAAGGAAAACGCTAAACGAAATCATATATTGTCCATTGAGAAAGTGTGCTAAAGGAACACATAGAGATAATTTTTGTGAGGAGCTTCGAGCATCACTTGAGTCTCGGGGGGTGGAGCTTTCTACGCAAAGG